CTACTACTACTATTACTACTACTCCTACTACCTACTCGAGAGTCTGAGAGCAAAAAGCCAGAAGCAGAGTCATGCTTTAAGTGGTAGGGCACCAGCCTTGAGTGGAAAAGCCAAGTGAGAGTACAGGTCCTTAGTTCAAGCCCTAGTACTGGCATAAAAAGGAAAGGAAGAGTGGATCTATTTTGTGCATGAACACCTGAACACAGAACTCCAAATGATATGTGCAAGCTGTGCTGCCCATGGGGATGTGTGTTAACTGTCATCTCAGTTCCATGGTGTTACCTATGTGCAGCAACACTCCACCTCCAAGGTCTGGAAGATGCATGTAAGCTGCGTGAACAGTGGGATCATGTTCCCACAGGCTGGATTGCCATCCCTCTCACCTACACCTGAGGTTTCATGGGGAGTTCACTGTAATGAGCTAAGGATACAACATTAACCCTTGGTTATAGATGTGAATGTTACAGATGGCTCTACAGAATATGCAGAAATGGTTGGTGACAGAGCGCCACTTAAGTTCAGAAATATACATAGCTTCCCACTGAGTAGTTGCTAATGACTTGGTTATCTGGTCAAGGATTTGGGGACACCATGAATCATTAAGTGGTTTATGGATATCTCTCTTGAACAGGCACACACTGTGATACTAGTGATTCCTGTCCCGCATAAACAGGCACCAAAAAGAATCTGTCATGGACGACCATATCAATTAAAGATGTTCTGTGCATGCCAGTCAACTTCTATCTTGCCAGCCTTTGCCTTGCCCAACAGACTCCTGAACAAAATGACCATAATGACAGGTATGGGCTCCACAGTTCTTCCACTAAGGCCAATCTGGCTATGTCACTGCTGAATTTGTTCAACCTTCCATAAGAAAAGAAACTTCATATTCTTCTATGGATAGGTCTTTTTCCTTTTTGAGCCAGTACTGGAGCTTGAACTCGATTTCATTCAGCTTTTTCACTCATAGTTGACACTATCACTTCAGCCACACCTCTATCGCCAGCTTTTTTGCTGGTTAATCAGTGATAATAGTCTAGGATTTGTCTGCCTATACTGGCTCTGAGCTGAGATTCTCAGATTCTCTCCTGTGTAGCTAGGATTATAGGCATGAGCCACTGGTGCCTGGCTTTGTTTTTTCTGAGACAGGGTACGGGCCTAGAACTTGCAGTCCTCCTGCCTCAGCCTCCTGAATGCACCACCATGCCTGGCTTTATTTATTAATGGCAGCTGATTAGAGAATACAAGATGGGCTGGGAAGGTGGCTCAGTAGTAGAGCGCTTGCCTTGCATGCATGAGGTCCTGGGTTCGATTCCTCAGCACCACATAAGCAAAAAAGAAAAAAGCCGGAAGTGGCGCTGTGGCTCAGGTGGTAGAGCGCTAGCCTTGAGCTGAAGAGCTGAGGGACAGCGCCCAGGCCCAGAGTTCAGGCCCCACGACTGGACCCCCCCAAAAAAAGAGAATACAAGATGAGAAGAAGCCATTATACCTCCACATTTTTTTCTGGCAGAAAGAAGACTGGATAAACAGCTTAACTGCAAACATTTAAAACATGAAACAGGAAGGAAGGGACTAAAGGTAGAACCAACAGCTCCTGGCCAATTCCCAGGCCTTAAAAATCTAATCAAGAAACTTTCATTTGGTCAGCTGGATTTCAGACTTGTAATATACCAGCAACTCTTATGTCTCACCCCTCCCCCACCATTTTGAACTGGAATATCTTGTTATCCTATACTAGCTCCACCTCCACCATTATGAGTGTTGGGCACAGATGATTTGCCTCTTAAATTTCACAAGTCTACACATAGAGAAAAATAGTACTTAAGGAGCCACATGTAAGGAATACATTCAAGGCTCTTCATGCCCATTTGGACCTGATTTAGATGATTGATCTGAGCTATGTGTGCGTGTGCCCACACACACTGTACTGGAACTTGAACTCAGGGCCATACACTCTCATTCAGTGTTTTTGCATGATCATAGCTGACCTTCTGTCACTTCAGCCATACCTCCAGTCTGGCATTTTGCTTGTTAGAGATATAGTCTTGTGAACTTTTCTGTTGTCTGGCTTTGAACCTCTATCCTCTAGGCTTCAGCCTCTTTAGTCCCCAGGATTACAGGTGTGGGCCACTGATAGCCAGCTCTAATGACTTCACTTCTAATGAACAGACTTGCGATAGAATGTCACTTCTGAGATTTGGTTATGAAGATTGTGACTTTTATCTCAAATCTGGGCACTGCCCCATTCTGTTTCTTGCTTATCTTACTTGCCCCCAATGAAGCAAGCTGCCATGTTGTGTGCTGCCCTATGAAAAGATCCACATGGCAAGGAACTAAGTAACACCTATCCAACAACTATCCATCAGGAGGCCGTCCTGCCCACAACCACAAGAGGGAGCTCACAAGTAGATCCTTCCCCAACCAAGCTTTGCGATGAATGCAAACTCAGCTGTCACTTTGATTGCAGCCTGACTGTAGCTTGTAATAGAAATTCAGCTAAATTGTGCCCAGACATCAAACCCACATTAAAGGGTGAGAAATATTAAAACCATGAAAATATATTTTTGGGAGGTCCAGTCGTGGGGCCTGAACTCTGGGCCTGCCCTCAGTTCTTCAGCTCAAGGCTAGCGCTCTACCACTTGAGCCACAGCGCCACTTCTGGCTTTTTTCTTTTTGCTTATGTGGTGGTGAGGAATCGAACCCAGAGCCTCATGCATGCAAGGCAAGCGCTCTACCACTGAGCCACCTTCCTAGCCCCCATGAAAATATTTTAAGTCACCCTTTTGAGGTAATTTGTGATGCAGCACTCCAGAATACAATCATGGAAGGTTTAGAGAACATGACCAAGTCAGTCTGGCTATAGTACTGATATCCCAACCTACCAACAGTAAATATCAACAGCAAGTCCCCATTATAGTCCTAGTCAGACTATTCTGGCCCCCTTCTGACATGCAGAACAGGGCTTATATTCAGAGGTAGGAAATTTTCAGGCCTATCAAGCTGTCTGTACCTGACCTATTAACTGATGTATTTTGCATGATGAGATGAGTCTATTGAGGACTTGGCAAAGTATCTCATGTACAGCTTTGCAGACAGGAAGGTGTTCACAAAGGGCTACTTGCTTTTTCTGAAACCTAAGAGCCTCATACGCAAAGGCTCTCAATCCCTTTTCTCTGATCCATCACAATTTTGGGTCTTCTGCAAAGCATGGCCAGTGTTTATCCTTCAGGGCTACTGATCATTGTCCTGACACAGGTCCCACCCCATAAAGTGGCATCCTGTACCAACGAACTTTTTATGGGTTCACATGAAGTGGGGCTCTGACTAATCCTGTCTGCATTTTTCTGAGTAAACTATACAGGTTCCTTGCCTACAAGTGAAGACAGAGGACTCAAAACCTGGATGTTGCCACCAGGAACTTCCAGTATATTGAGTCTGAAGATGGGAGGAGATAATTCATTCTATGTATCTACCACTAAGGCACAGCAGAAGCACTAATAAAGTGGGATGTCAGTTTTGCCTGAGGAAGTCTGGGGAGTCTTCAGTAATGTCTCTTCCTGTCCCCTGGTCACCAGCAAACTAAGAAGCCACCCTGACAATTGTAGCTGTCTGCAAGGATGCAACAAGGTGGGCTCTCTAAAGTAGAAAATTATTTTGGGGTGAGAAGATACTTCCTCAGCTTCATCTCCATGTCCCGCTCATTTGGGGCTCCCCTGAGACAATGATTCCCAGGTCAGTGTCTGGGAAAGAAGGCTGGAAAAATGCAAGAGATTGCATCAGATGAGTCTTGCACAATGATGGCTATAGCCTCCCCTGCAAATTTCATGACATATATGTAGACTGTGAAGGAGGCATAAAGTATGAGGACGAAATAGAAGGTGCCAAAATGGGAATGCTTCTTGTAAAAACTGGGATGAACTCTCCATCAAGCTGAACATTTCTCTACACTGAGAGTTGCTGTGGGTTATAGGCAGTTATCTCTTCCATTCAGCTGGCTACCTTGTAGTAAAGTGGCAGGGGAGTTAAGATGGCCCCCTTTGTGCCCATGCCACTTCTTGTGTCACCTCCTTGTACCCTCTTATCATGGTCAGTTCCGGAAAGCTAGGCAAAAGGCTAGCTTTTCCCCCTTGTCTGGAACCTTGGGTCAAACTGAGCCCAGGACGAGGTTATTCACTGCATTTTGTCTTTCGGTCCAGTGCCTAGACTAAAAGACTGACGGGATAAGGCAAGCTTGAACCACGTTCCCACCACTCAACGCTGCCAAAATGTGACTGTTTGACCACTAGGTTTCTATTGAAAATCCTGGGAAGGGGGAGAGATGGAGCAAAATGAGACCTCTATATATATATGAGGAAGGAGCAAAATAACAGTGGCAATTGCTGGGTGCTGGTGGTTCATCCCTGTAATCCTAGCTATTCAGGAGGCTGAGATCTGAGGATTGAAGTTCAAAGCCAGCCCAGGCAGGAAAATCCATGAGACTCATCTCCAATTAACCCCCAGAAAACCCAAAGTAGAACTATGGTCAAAGTGGTAGAGTTTTAGCTTTGAGCAAAAGAGCTCAGGACAGTACCCAGGCCCTGAGTTTAAGCCCCACAATCAACCAAAAAAAATTAACCTCAAAAAAGAAAGTGGCAATGTGCTGAGCTTCTGGCCTTTGCCCTTCAACACACCTGTGCAGCCCCTAGGAGAGGAGGGAAAGTCCTTGGGAGCCTCAATTGATGGAGAGGAGAGCTAGCTGCCTACCACAGCAAGCTCTCTAGGCTCTTGTCTCCTTATGTCCTGGACAGGACCAAGGATCCCTTTATAAATCTGGTAGAAACTGGTTAGTCTTCTTGCCTAAAAAGCACATGCATGCAAACACAAAAAGGTGATCAAATCTCTAGGGTCAGTGGCTGATGCAGTACAGCAGCCTCATCTTTTGAGGCTCAAAAGGGAGAAAATCTGACAGGTTTGAAACCACTATGGTAAGTGAAAGAAGCCAGACACAAAGGACCACATAGTGTATAATTTCATTTATATAAAACGTCCAGAATAGGTAAAGAGGGAAAATGGGAAGAACCTAAGGGATGTGAAGGTTTTTTTGGAGATGATAAAAATGTTCTCAATTTTTTTTGCAGTGATGTTTTTGCACAACTCTGTTAAATATACTAAAAGTTGCTGAATTGTACACTTAAAGAGAGGGAACTATATGGTATGTGAGTTTTATCTCAATAAAACAAGTGTTTAAAAAGAGAACTCCAGAATTACAAATAAGCACACATCTGCCCATTCATCCAGGGCAGAAAGAACAAGTGAGAAACATCAAGAGATAGGGCCTACATGGGTTAGTCAGAAAAGCATTCTAGAAAGAATGAGGTTATATATAATCTTGATCTTAAGAGTAATGAAGCAGTAGTGACACGATCAGTTCTACACTTTAGAAAACACTATCTGAACTCATTCAACTACACATTTAACAAGATGAACATTATGGCATGGAATTATACCTTAATGAAGCCATGGGGGGGGGGGGCTCCCTCTGAAAACAAGAGGGTATAGACTGGAGGGCACAAAGTTTGGGGAAGCTATTGTGCAGGTCAGGTGAGTGGGGCCAAAGCCCACCTGTTTGGAGACAGGGAACTGGCTTGGGGAGGCATTGGATGTCTTGCCCAAGGTTAAGGAGAAGCTGGTACGATGGATTCAGTTTCAGAACCCCTTGGCCCCTGGCCTCAGCCTCAGTGCTCCTGCTAGCACTACAGCTGCTCCACTGACAGGTGAGGGAGGCTCCACTCTCCCTTTAGAAGAGAAATGCACTTCAGAAACAGGTTTCCAAAAAAATGTTGCTAAGGGTTTTATTTCTAACAAGAGGAAAATAATAAAATAAAATTAAAATAGGCTTCAGTTGGAACCAAGTTTCTTTTTTGTTTTCCTTCTGAACAAATTAATTACACACCGACAATCTTCTTTTATTACAACATGAACCCAGGAGGAGGAAAGGATAGGGGGAGGACAGGGAGGAAGGGTTGAGGCAGGTGTGAGGACAAGCACCAAAAGCCTTCTTCAGACCACAAGGAGCCCTGCTGAGCCCCCACCCCACCCCCAAACAAATTCATAGAAAATAAAAAAACTGAGCACAGCTATGTGAAGTTTCCTCCTCCTGGGTGGAAAAATCAGGGAAAAGGGAAAAGGGAAAAAGGTGAGGGTGAAGGGAGGAGGGCAAAAGGGAGGAGGCAAATGAGTGAGAGGGGGTGTAGAGGTTAGTGTAGCATGGCCTGGCCAGGGCTAGAACTGGGAAGAAGGGAGAGATTTCCCCCAGTTTGCATATGCACTGGCCTTGTCTCTGGAATGGTGCTGGCCCAGCCCCAATGACCCCCCCCCTTCCCACCTGCCTATCTGCCTCAGGTGTCTGGGAATGCTGGTTAGAGGTTACCAGGGATGGGGGTGGGACTCCAGGGGCCGGCCCCCAGGAGCTGAGGTCTGAACAATACCTTGGAGTCAGAATATAAAAGTCAAGGGACTCAGGGAAGAGAGGGAGCCTCCCCCCACCCACCCACCTCCAAGAAAGCAGGCTTGATGGTCAGAAAGAGGATCCTTGAGGCCAGGAGTGGGGGAAGGGTCTGTTAGGGTCTGTGCTAGGCTCAGCCACTGTCACAACTGTTGCTGAGGAGGCTGCTGTGGGCAGGACATATGCAGCCGGGAAGTCAGAGTAGAAAAGGGGGCTGTGGGGTCTACAGTGGCCCCTAGTGCTGGTTCCAAGCCATCCTGGTTCTCCTGGGTGTTGGAACTGCCAGTGGTGGGGAGGGGTACAGGAGGGGCCTCACCCCCAGTTTCCTCCTCCAGCTCGTCCTCCTCCTGGGCTTCCTCGGCCTCTGGCCCTGAGCTTCGTACCCTCTTTGGCTCTAGCTCCTCTCGGGCTGGGTCATCGGCCTCCCCACCCCGATCCACCTTCCGCCGCCGCCGCCTTTCCAGGGCCCGACCCCGAGCCCGACTCCCATGGCGTTCTGCCTTCTCCAGCTGTGATTATAGGTAGGCAGAAAGACAGGAATGTATAGGCTTGTATTAAGTCAGACCTGGGCATTGTGGGCCTGACCAGACCCTGCCCATGACTACATTCTTCCTCACCTCTAGAAGTGTGTGGATCCGCTCCAGGTTTGGAGGCTGCCCAGCCTGCAGGAGCTGCCAGATGCTGTGGTTCTCATCCAGGGTCACCTCAAGCAGGTCTCCCTCCATCATAAGCTCCTCCAGAGGGGCTCGAGTTGCCTCCGGCAGTTCCAGCACAGGACCAGTCAGTTGTGGCAACAGCGAGGACAGCAGCTCCAAATCTGAGGATGGATGGTGGGGACAGGTATGGGTCAGAGGCAGCCATTTGCTCATCTCTCCTACAACCACTACAGAGCAGAGGACCACAGGGGGTCACTCTGGTGATCATGAGTCAATATCCTACCCACACTACAGCTACACGTACCTCTCTTACCTGAGCCCTCCTCTGTGGCTACCTTCTCAGGACTGGTCACACTGTCTCCATTCTCCAACAAGCCCTGGACATGCATAGGAGAGCAGGTATGGGCACGGAAAACTTGAACACAAGAACCAGGAACTATTCTTTTTCCCCCAACCCCAATCCTGGAAGCCTCCACCTCCCAGAGAAAGGGAGACATGGGCTTGCCAACAGAGAGAATCTAGGGGTGTGGACTGACACAGGATGGGGAAGGGAGGCTGAGCCAAAAGACACTGAACACTGGAAAACAGAAGCAAAGCTGGAGCCTAAACAGATGTAGGGGCTAGGAGACAGGAATAGGAGGGGAAGAGCTGGGCTGAGTAGCTTACCTTAGGCACATCCTTGCCACTGCTCTCTCTCAGAGAGTCAGAGGCAAGGTCTGCAGGGTAAGTAGGGGGCTCCTCGGGACTGGGTTCAGCCTGGAGCTGTTGGTGGAGCTCAGCCAGCCGTCCCAATAGAGCAGTCACGTCCTCAGAGGCTAGAGCCTGTCTGGCACGGCCTTGCCAGCTGATGGCCCTCTCTGTGAGGCACTGTAGGGCCTCACCCTCAGGCAGCCGCACAGGCAGTCTCTGCAGGGCTACCAGCAGTGCCAGGATGGTCTCCAGGCGTGGGCGCCGTGAGCGCATGCACAGTGGGCACAAGAATTTGGTGTCCCATTCCCACCAAGCCAGCAGTGGGGATGAGGTGGGACTGGGCCTTGGGTAGCTGAGGAGGCGGGGCACTGTCACACACCGCCCATGGAACCAGTCCTGACACAGGTCACACTGCAGAGCTCCCACCCCGGCCGGCACTTGCCCACACACACAGATGGAGGTCGCAGAAGTGGCTGTGGTCGATGATGCCAGTGGACTGGGCTTGGCTGAGTTGGTGCGGCGCAGCTGCAGGATACCCTCCTTCTCCTTCTGCTCCCCCTCCTTGAAGGCCACGATCTGCCGTGCCCAGGATAGGGGGAGAGTAGGTTAGTTGCCTGTCCCCTCAAACATCCCACTCCAAAAGCAAGAGAACTGAGGCTCAGGAGCAAGCGGTCTGCCCATGGTCACCCGGCTCAGACACTCTTATCATTGCCAGGCTCTTCACCCATCTGTGTCTTAAGCATCTTACCACAGAGCCTGGGTCCCTGAGGTCCTGCGCAGACAGCCCCAGCAGCTCTGTGTCAGATTTGTATAACCCCAGCTCCTTCTCCATCCACCGGCTGCGCTTGGTGCTGTCTGAGCCGGCGTCTGCACACGGGCAGAGCACCTGAGGCAGGCAGACAGAGGGGGGATGACCGGGCTTCTCTATGTCCCACACCCTCTCCTCCCCTCCCGAGTGTCCCTTCAAACCCCATGTTGTCATAGAAGCCATCTCACAACAGCCAGACCAGGCAAGGGGAGGCAGTAGGTGAAGGTGCCAGGCCTCACCTCCAGCAGCGTGTAGCAAGAATTCTTCTTGAGGAAGGTCTTGGAAGCCTTCTCCCTCCAAGAGTGCGCCGTCAGTACCTGCAGCTCCAGCTGTCTCAGTTCCTCTAGTCCCACAGGGAGGTCCCGGCCCACAGCCACCAGGCCCTCCAAGTCATCCAAGCAGGGGTAGTGGTCACCATTCTGGATAGAGGGACAAGAAGAGTAAGCTGAGTGTCTACCTTGCAATATCTAGCGATACTTACTCCATGCTGGGCCCTGAGCTGGGAAGATGAACTGAATTCAACAGTCCTAAGGCAGAAACAACAGGCCATGTGTTCAGGAACACCCACATACCTCTGTACCCTAACACTTCCATCTACTGGCACGTTCAGTGTAGGACACCAGACTAGCTGTATGCCATGGCCTGCCTCTTCCCCCCTCCTGCAGGTACCTGTGGTGTTCCACTCCCATGCGACCTGCCTCTCTTACCCCACTAGCCTCATCCTAACCAGCAACCTCATTTATGAGATTCTCTCATATTGTTTTCTAAGTACATTTTGCCTTTTCCCAATATGCTGCACCCCCTTTTTCTCTCTAGCCCAACTCAGAGTAGGTGTCATCTCTCCCTGGCTAGACAAAAGACCTGGGGTTAAGGCTAGGAAGGTGGCTCAGTGGTAGAGTGCTTGCCTTGCATGCATGAGGCCCTGGGTTCAATTCCTCAGCACCACATAAGCAGAAAAAGCCAGAAGTGGCGCTGTGGCTCAAGTGGTAGAGGTTTAGCTTTGAGCTGAAGAGCTGAGGGACAGCGCCCAGGCCCAGAGTTCAGGCCCCACGACCAACAACAACAAAAAAAAGACCTGGGATTAGAGTCAAGGTAAGGTTCTCACTTGGATCTCATCCACATCAGCAATCCATGCCCGGGCCTTAGCAAGAGCCTCCTTGAGAGCCTGAATATTAGGCAGGTGAACAGGGATGTTTTCTGCTTCACGGATTATGGCCTCAAGTGTGGCTGGTGGATGCTTCTGCCTAAAGGTAGGAACAAAGAACAAGAGGACCCAGTTTGGCATGGTCTACTGAGCAAAGCCAAGCCTGACTACCAGAAATGTAGAAACAGACCCACTGAGTACTTGTTATTTCCACTGCTATTTGGATCTACTTGCCCTTATCTTGCCAGGGAGAGGTGGCAGGCCCTGTACCCACCTAACCATATGTACCTATTCATCCTTCTATCACAGCTATTTCACCTTTACCTCTCTGCCAGTGTGTCGGTCAGCTGGAAGTGTTTGCATACTTGGGTGCATGACCTGTGGTTGCAGTCTGTCAGATGGTGCCATGTGTGGCACCTATCACCTTCTTGCGATCTGTGTTTTCTATACATGAGTGCATGCCAGCCTACAGGGCTAGTCTTCTATGCATTATTTGTTTCTGTTCTCCATGAGCCTACCCCTACCCTCTGTATACATAGATTTAAAAATAAAAGTAAGTTTTATAAGAAAACTTCTAAGCTTTCAAAAACAAGTAAGAGTCAAATACATAGAATGTGTGTGATGTCCACAGCTACCCATGACAGTCATCTTCAAGTTCCCCACTAAACTCGGAAAGGTGTCATAGGGCAGGGAGGGGAATAGCTGGACCTACCTGGCTTCCAGGCAGAGGTGGGCTTTCTCCTCCCAGCGTTCAGCAATGGTCAGCAGCTCCTGAAGCTCAGCCCGGGCCTTATCCACAGCAGAGCTAGGGGCAACACTGGCACCCGCAACCAACAGTCCCCGCATGACAGCCAGGGTGCCCCTTCGGGCAGAAGGGGCCAGTGTGCGTTTTACCTCATCCAGCCACCGTGCCTGTTCCACCTGCCGCTGGAGCTGCTGGGCCTCAGGCACCTCCACCCCCAGCTGCTGCCCTCTCTCCAACAGGGATTGCAGTAGCCCAGGATTGGAGGGCAGTGAGGCCAGGGCCTCACACGCTTCAGCCTGGTAGGCCTCCACCTGTTCCAGGATGCCCTGCCAGAGTACAGGATGAAGAACAAACTCCTCAGCTGGGCCCACCTAGAGATCCCATGACCACATATTGTTGCCCTGCTTCCATTCTTCCCCTACAAGCTTGAGGAAACAGGGAATCTGACACAGGCCGTACTCTACTTCTCTAGGCTCCGTGACAGCAATTCCTAACACTGATTGCTTATTAGAATTCCCTATAAAATTTGTTAAAATGCATGGTCCTGGGTCTTATTACTAGAGATTATTTTAAAAGGCTGGTTATGAATTTGTGCCTTATTTCTATAAGGACTCTCAGAGCACTGTTAAGTCCCTATGCCCTATGCTATGCTTAGACATTGCACAAACCCTCATGTTTACACTGCCATCCCGTGCCTTTTCCATCCTATTTCTCCTCTCCTTTCATGAATTTTGCTCAATTTCCCAAACTTTCCAGGCCTAAGGAACACTAATGACTACCTCCATCAGGAAATCTTCCCCTTTACTCATACCCGTTCCTCAAATTCCACACCTCCTATTATTTCCTCATACACATACATCCTATCTCACCCAAATACTTTACACTTCCCCAAAGAATCCAGTGTAGCCTGCTACTCAGGTTTCCCAATTCCCCTAATCCCTCAGTAGTACTCCAGCCCACCTCTCCTCACCTTAACATCCCCAATCTGGTGCATGGCACAAGGAAGATTGTTCATCTGGTCCAGAAAGGCCCGAAGTTCAGCCAAGGTCATCTGTAGGCCAGCCACCCTGTGGGGGCTATGGAGTTTCACATGTAGAGTTCACATCCAAACCCAGTCCTCTCCCCTGATTTCTGTGCCAATAGTCAATAGCTTTCCTCACCACATCTGTCCATCTTGATTTTGCATTTTAGGGTTCCTCCAAATGCCCAGGTGGCAGGGAGGTGTTTTTTTTTTTTTGGTCTGTTGTGGGGCTTGAACTCTGGGCTTGGGCACTGTCCCTCAGCTCTTCAGCTCAAGGCGAGCGCCTACCACTTGAGCCACAGCGCCACTTCCAGTTTTTCTGGTGGTTTATTGGAGATAAAAGTCTCACGGACTTTTCCTGCCCGAGCTGGCTTTGAACCATGATCCTCAGATCTCAGCCTCCTGAGTAGCTAGGATTACAGGCGTGAGCCACCAGTGCCCAGCTCAGGGAGGGTTTTTAAATATAAGTTTCATTTTTTTCAGATGATGAAGGACATTAGGAGAGAGGGAATTATTTTTCAAGCTGCAGAGGAAGTTTAAAAACCCACTGACAGTAACAAAACCCAAAATTTTCCTTTTTGTTAAAATGGTGCTAAGACTCAAACCCAGAGCCTCTTCACATGCTAGGCAAGTGCTCTCCCACTGAGCAGACACACCCCTGGCATTTAGATTTTTCAATTCATACTCTACTGTGAACCTAAAGCTATGTAAGCTGATTCAAGTTTTATGTCTGTCCTGTTCTTCCCACTAAACATCCCCAACTTCTTGCCCACAAACTCTCTCAGCCTATCTCTCATATTTCCTACTGGTACTGAAAAAATAACTTCTGGCTTTCTTATTGCTCAGGCTCTCCTCTGCATGCTAAATTGTCTGGTCTCCTGCATTCTTCAACATTTCCTAAGCCATCTAATATTTGTGACTTCCTGCTAATGTTCTATGTACCCAATGGTATTCAGTCTGCCCCTTGTACTTTTCCAAGGTTACTGGATCCTCGGCAAGCTACCTCTGACCCAACACCTCAAGCCACCATACCCAGCTTCTTGGCCGCTGACCAATCCCAGAGCTCGGGACACGCAAGCCTCAGCCTCACTCAAGCAGTTCTTCAGTTGCTGCAGTAGCTCACTGTTAGGAAACCTTCGCTCACGGGCCTCAGACTCTAGTGCCCTTAGCTCTTCAAGACCTGGAGGAAGAATGAGAATAGTAGTGTTTAGTAAAGGTAGAGGAAGGGGGGTCAGGGAAAACAACAAAAAAAAGGGGGATCTGGGAATGTGGTTTAGCAGTAGAGTGTTTGCCTAGCATGCATGAAGCCCTGGGTTCAATTCCTCAGTACTACATAAGCAGAAAAAGCCAGAAATGACACTGTGGTTCAAGTGGTAGAGTGTTAGCCTTGAGCAGAAGAAGCTCAGGGACAGTGTACAACCCTGAGTTCAAGCCCCAGGACTGGCAAAAAAAAGGGAATGGAACTTGCCTGTGGAATCCTTCTGCCCCCTCTTGTCCTGCCCTTCCCACCCCCTAGCCAATCACTCACTGCGCTTTCGTCCATCTTCCACCTCTAGTGCCACTCGCACTTTGTTGGCCCAGGTGTCAAAGGACTCCGCTCGAACCTTCAGCTTATGCAGCATGGCAGGGAGCTCATCTAAGGTATACCGATAGCTGGGAAAGAGAACAAGGAAGACTACATTTGGCCCAGCTCTATATCCTTTGCTTTGTTCAATTTCCTCTGGGTAGGTCCCAAGCTCACCGCAGATACTGCCGACTACTGGAGCACTTGCAGAGGTCATTAATGTGGGAAAGGCAGACAAGACCATCTGGGCAATCATAGCAGGCTAGGGCAGACAGGAAGCATGTGGTCTTGCACTTGATGCACTGGCGCTCATCATCTGGGAGCAGTTCAAAAGCCTCTCGTTCGGCCTCTGTGATACCCTGGGGAATTCAATGTATACATCATATAGAACCAGACAAGGTAGCAGAAACCCCCATCTCAGCTACCACAGAGCCCCACTTTTAACTCAAATCTATGCTGAGGGTCATGAGGGTTAGGAGGACAAATATCACAGTGAACACCTGTCCACTGTGAGGAAATCAGCTTAAGATACAATCAGGTCAGTGTGGCTTGAGGCAGAATTTTATAGAGGAAGAAAAATCAGGTAAGATTCAAATCAGTACAAACCATTTTTTGGGTGAGAAAAGACGATGGAAAATAGTAAACCAAGGTACCAAAGCGGTGGCAATGTAGGAACTAGGAAATCATGCTGGCTTCCGGTTACTCAGCACTCACTATGTTCCAGGCACTGCTGCTTAGCAGACAGGAGAAAATAGGCATTCTGAGCTTAGACACATGCAATAAGATTTCCCAATAACTCAAGGACTTCGGGGTTGGGAAGGTGGCTCAGTGGTAGAGTGCTTGCCTTGCATGCATAAAGCCCTGGGTTCGATTCCTCAGCACTACATAAGCAAAAAGAAAAAAGCCAGAAGTGGCGCTGTGGCTCAAGTGGTAGAGCACTAGCCTTGAGCTCAAGAGCTGAGGGACAGCGCCCAGGCCCAGAGTTCAGGCCCCACGACCGGACCCCCCCCCCCAAAAAAAACCCTCAAGGACTTCATCTGCTGCTCAGAAAAAGCAACCTATTTCCAGAAAGAAGCTAGCTGTGTTGGACTAACTGAAAGATAATGCAATTATTAGTAAATTTCAGGATTTGAAAGGGAAATGTTGACTTAACAGTTTTGCCTTACATTCCAACTTTAACATCTACCCTCTGTATAAAGCTATCAGCCAAATGCAAATTAGAAATCCTGCACTTCCACTTATTTGTGTGACCATGTATAAACCTCTCTGTGTCTGTGCCATTATTTTCACTAGGGTGTTCCAATGATTAGTAAAACAAAGATGGTAAGTATATTAGTACTTTGAATTAAGTACCCAACAAATATTTATTATTAGTTGCTCTAATTTTCAGGTAAGAATATGCATCTCACAGTCATCATCTCACTGTAAAAAAGGAAGACTCTAAGTCACAGAGAGGGTGAGGATTTGACTGAAGTCAATTTTGAATCCAAAGAGAAAAGCTGAAGTCTCTGGATTTCTTTGGATCACTGGTTCTTGAAAGCTGGATGAAAACTGAGTCCTCCAGAAGAGTACTCAAACACATATAATCAGGTCTGAAGGATTCCAGAATTCATCTCTGATGGAAAGGTCAAGTTTACAAAACTCTGAACGTCAGGATGGAAGGTTTGTTTATTCTCCCTACCTTACTTTGGCTCTGTCAATTGTATGCCACAGCCACAGGACCATTATTCAATAACAACAAAGAAAATGATGCATGGAAAAACTTAAAAACTAGCACCACAACTAAGAAGGCCTTAACTTCTAACACCATTATAGCTAAAACACTTCCTACAGACCATACTCACAGGAAAGTTATACTTGAACATTAAATCAGAAGCTATTACCCAAAACAGCCAGAACTGACACCATAGCACCAGTATTCCTTTGTAATTCTTTTTCCATATTCTGGAGATCAAAGCCAAGGCCTTGTACATGCAAGGTTAACTGTTTCCCCACTGTTCTATACCCACAGCCCTTCTTTGTAATCTTCTAAAGGGTTCTCACTAAGTCAGTTTGCTAAGCAAATATGGGGCATGAAGGGAGCAGCTGAACCTACATAAGTGGACTTTATAGCTGTGCATAGCTGCCACTCAACTACATATACAACAGACATGTTTAAAAGAAATCTATTAAAGAAAGACTGTTTTCAATTTGGTAACATTATTGACCTAGAATTACTGAACCATCTGAATGTAAGAAAACGGCATTTCCTAAAAAAGTTCCATATTTATTTTTTTCATGTACCAGTAATAGCAGCTGCTGCCAGAAAAGGGAAGTAATAACAGTCTTTTCTGTAGATCACCACACTCAAGCTTTAAGACTTCCTTGTACTTAAGTGTGTATTTCATTTTATGAAGTGAGATTATCATTTACAGTGTACATAACTTGATATGGTGACCCAGATAATCAAGCAGAGGGGTTTTATGCATCTGTTTGTTTTGCTAGGTCATTTGCATAATGGAATGGCGGGTATACCAATACCTGCTAAAAGTCAGTTACTGCAGTATTATCTATGATCCACTCAATGTTCCAAAAAGATAAGCCTCTTTCCTATTTTTCAGATGGGGAAAATCACACTTAGTGAAGTAAAGTGATTGGTCTAAGTTTGCTGGTAAAGGGGAGAGTTAAGAAATGAAATAGTTTTCAGTTGAGGCGTGCCTAGTTCATTTCACCAAGCAAGAGTAAAGGTTTTATCTTTTCCTTCACATCACACTTGTCTTTCCCAATATCCCCCCAGGTAAGGGTGCCTAATTACAGCAATATCCCACCACTCACTTTCTCTAGCAGAGCCTTTCGTAGGCGCCGCTCCTCCTGCACCATTATGAACATCTCTTTATGTACGGCTGCTGCCAGGTTCAGGTCCAGCTTCTCAGGGCACGCAGCCATCTTGCAGATGAGCTCTTCATGGGAGAAGACGCAATATCTTCGGAGCCGGCGGTAGTGCTCAATGCACTGACGCCCAGCTGGCAGCTGTGAACAGGTGTCAAGTCTGGGGCCAAGTCTAAAGGAAGTGGTACCTCAGCTTTCCCACAACCTTTCTGTTTCTCCCTCCTACTCCACACACTCTGGACTCACCCAGTCAGCAGTACAAAAGTTGACAGCCTCAGCAAAGTTGTAGCCTTGGTTGAAGCCGCTGTGGTAAGCACGAGGAAAGGTGATGACGAATTCTCCTGCACACTGGTTTGTGCGAACAACCTAAGGAACAAGACAGCCTATGCAGTGAGATAAGAGATTTTCTAGTCTGCAGAAATCTGACCTAAGATAGGGTGCTTAAGAAAACAGTTTCAGGAAATACAGTATGACAACAGAATCCCATCCCTTTCAACTCTCAAAAAAAACCCCAAAACCCTCAGATTCTACTATCATCATTTTAATCTACGTGAACAGATAACATCCTGATTTGAGTTCAAATTAGAAATGAAGCCTATTTTGACTTCCAAGTAATTTTTGTGTGTGTGAGACAGTCCTGGGGCTTGAACTCAAGGGCCTGAGCACTGTTTCTCCCCTAGCATTTGTGCGCAAGGCTAACACTCGAGCCACAGCTCCATTGATTTTTCCTTTCTTGGTGATTAATTGGAGATAAGAGTCTTACGGACTTTCCTGCCTGTGCTGGTTTTGAATCGTGATCCTCAGATCTCAGCCTCCTCAGTAGCTAGGATTATAGGTGTGAGCCACTGGCAGCTGGCTCCCCAGTTTATTTTTTTATGAAAGTTTTTTCATTAAGCTGGCCAAGCTTTACATCAGTAGTCAAGAGATGAAGTTTAAGAGTCAAATGGTTCTGTGAGATTTGCTATAAAACCAGCAGATCCTGTCATACCTCCTGAGAGCCAATCACTTGTACCTTATTATTTTGGCACTGACTATAACAATCCTAAATAGTGTATTTCTAGGCTAGGTAAAAACAGCTTCAGGCTTCTCAATTTGCTTGGATTTCTATGTATATTATTAATCATTTAAACCCTACCTTGCTGACAAGTGTCCATTTTTTTTTTCTATACATTTCACCTTACTTTAGCACTCTCATGAAGCCTTCTGGGATTTTTTGTTGTTATTTTATTTTTGTTCATTTTCTTGAGACAAGATCTCACATGTAGATTAGGCTGGCCTGCAACTCACAAACCTCCTGTACCAGTTTCCAAAGTGTCTGAATTATAAGCATGCATCTTTGTGCAGCCATATGATCTGCTCAGATGTAGAGGAGCTGTTCTCCCAAGAATCTCACACTCCTGCAACATGTCTCTTGTTTCCTAGATCCTATGTACTCCTCTCTCTTGGTTCATTCCTTTGCTGTGCTTGAACATTTCTTTCAATGTCTTCCTGAAAAATGGTGGGAAGAAGTTTTTCTTTTGGGGAGGAGGAGGCAGTTTCTATTCTCAGCTCTCACACTTGACAGCATATAGTATTCTAAGATGAAAATCATTTGGGAATTTTGCTCTGGTCTTCTAGATTCCAGTCTTGCTTTTGAAAAAAATCAGAAGCCATTCTATTTTCTGATCTTTGAATGGTAAACCTATTTCTTCCTCAAGAAGTTATAGGACTCTTCTGGTCCCAGAGTTTGATAAGAAATTTTACAAGATTTATCTTGGTATGGATCTATTTTTATTCATGTACTGAGTAGATCTCTTTGATTGTGGTAAGTCTTATGGTCAAAGAAACTTTCTTGAACAGTTTCATTAGTGACTTGATCATCTCAGGTTTGTTTTTTTTGTGCGTGTGCCGGTCCTAGATATTGAACTCAGGACCAAGGCACTGTCCCTGAGCTTTTTGCTCAAGGCTAGAGCACTCTACTACTTGAGCCATAGCTCTACTTCTGGCTTTCTGGTGGTTACTTGGAGATAACAGTCTCACAGATTTTCCTGCCCAGGCTGGCTTCAAACCTTGATCCTAGAATTTATATCTAAACTCTTTAATTTTCTCTCCCTTTTCTCATCATTTTCTGGTGCTGGTCCTGGAGTTCAGACTCAGGGTTTGGCCTAAGCACTCTACCACTGAAGCCATGGCTCCATTTGTGGCTTTCTTTTTGGTGGTTAATTGGAGATAAGAGTTTCACAGAATTTCTTGTCCAGGCTGGCTTTGAATTACAATCCTAAAATCTCAGCCTCCTAAGGTAGCACGAGCTACCTGCAGCTGGCCCTTTTCCCATCTTTGCATTCCATTCTCTGGGAGAGTCTTCACCTATTTATTGTCTAAGCATTGCTTTTTTTTTGTTTTGTTTTGAGTTTTGCTATCATAGTTTTAATCTCCAAGAGCTTAGTAGCTTCACGGTATGCTGTTTATGAAAGTTTTTGGTATGCTCTTTTTAAAATAATATCCTGTTTTTGCTGTTTTGCAGTATGGTAGTCCCATTTTATCCAAAGATTATTTCTAAGACTGAGTGGTAACTTCAGATAGCATTGAACCCCTGATGTTTTTTTCCTAGATGCATACACAAATTTAATTAAGCAATGCTTTTGAGATTTCAAATGTTAAAACTAGCACAACTAGCACGTGTGCATGCATGTTAGTCCTAGGACTTGAACTCAGGGCCTGGACACTGTCACTGAGCTGTTTTGTTTGTCTAGTGCTCTACCACTCGAGTGACAGCTCCACTTCTGGCTTTTTGGTGGTTAATTGGAGATAGGAGCCTCATAAACCCTTATGCCCAGGCTGACTTCGAACCACATGACTTCGAACCACAAACCATGATCCTCAGATCTATGCTTCCTTAGTAGCTAGGATTAAAGAGGGGAGCCACTGGTCTCTAGCTTATTTCATTTAAAGAAAACATTGTAGAGCTTGTCTTTGATGTTTTGTTTCTCTTTTTCTTTGCAAGGATTGAGGCTTCAGCACAGGACTTGAGCTTGTGCTTTAAAACTCTTCATTCATGGTTTGCATTTTACCACTTAAGACATACCTCCAGTTCAGCATTTTACTCATCAATTGGAGATAGTCTTACAGACTTTTAGGCTGTGTCCTCTCAGTCTTCTAAGTAACTACGATTATAAGACTGAGTCACTTGCACCTGCCTTTTGGCATATGTGAATTCCCTCCACCACAATTGTACATTGGAGTAATTCCTAAATAAAATTATACAGCATGGATATACTGTACAAAAAGGAAAATTCATACTTCAGGCAGGCTAGATCAGGATGGTACAGGATTTCATCATGCTATTCAGAATAGAATGTAATTGAAAACTGATGACCTATTTATGGTTTGGAATTTCCCATTTAATATTTTTGGACTGCAACTGACCAGGGGTAACTGAAACCACAGAAAGCAAAATAATGGATAAGGGAGACTATATATGCTTACCTCTGAAGATAATAATAAGGTTTCAAAAAAAATGATGAGGTTTCTTTTCCTTTTGAAGTATTTCTCCCTGCCGGGCCTCTGTTTCTCCAAGTTGTTTTCTCCCTGTTTTTCTGGTTCTATTTTATTTTCATTGGTTATCTGTTAATCTGTGGCTACCTACTTAAATATAGAGGAAGAGACAAAAAACTGAATGGATGCACTAAGTACATAGGTGATGCTTATCAGCTTCACCATTTAGTCTGGGAAACTGTCATTTTTTTTCTTTCACACCAGTTAGATTCTCCAAAGAAAATTCACATTTAAATTTTTTTAATTTATTTATTCAATTTACTTATTTGCTGCCAGTCCCAGGGCTTGAATATAGGGTCTGGATGCGGTTCCTGAGCTGCTTTGTGCTCAAGGCTACCACTTGGGTGATGGCGCCACAGTAGCTTTTTCTGAGTAGTTTATTGGAGGTAAGAGTCTCACAGACTTTTCTGCCCGGGCTGGCTTTGAACTGCGATTCTCAGTTCTTAGCCTCCAGAATTGCAGGCATGGGCCACAAGTGCCCAGCTAAAACTCATTTTTATTTTTTTTAGGTCTGTCATGGGGCTTGACTCTGGGCCTGGGCGCTGCCACTGAGCTCTTCAGCTCAAGGATAGTGCTCTACCACTTGAGCCACAGCGCCACCTCCAGTTTTCTGGTCATTATTTAGAGATAAGAGTCTCACAGACTTTCTTGCCCGGGCTGGCTTTGAACTGCAATCCTCAGCCTCCTGAGTAGCTAAGATTATAGGCGTGAGCCACCAGTGCCCACTTCACTTTTTTTTTTGCCTGTAAGAAAAAAGGCCTGTCTGCCCATGTTCTAACAACCAAGGAAGATAATTGGAAACCTCAGTATCCAGTATGTACACAATGATAAATCCTAGTAAATTTTCACTTCAGTTCCATCCTTAACTGTACCTAAGGAGACCAAAGACTTCTCTTTTAACTTCTTCAGAAATAAATCTTTTTCATTAATTTCTTTTTATTTATTTTTGTTGGTCATGAGTCTTGAGCTCTGGGCCTGGGCACTGTCCCTCAGCTCTTCAGCTCAAGGCTAATGCTCTACCACTTGAGCCACAGTACCTCTTCTGGTTTTCTGGTGGTTTATTGGAGATAAGAGTCTCACGGACTTTCCTGTCTAGGCTGGCTTTGAACTGCAATCCTCAGATCTCAGTCTCCTGAGTAGCTAGGATTACAGGTGTGAGTCACCAGCACCTAGCATGAATTATTTATTTTTTAAGATTTTTTTATTAGCATAATTAGTTGTATAAGGGGGGGGTTCCACTGTGACATTCCCACATACATGTAATATATCCCAACAACCTCACCTCCTATATCAGTCTCCCTTAGCCCCTTCCTCTTAAAACAATTTCAGTTGGTTTCATAGTTCTATTTTCATACCTACTCATTCCCCCACTGTTTTATTTTTCTATCATTTTTTAGTGTGTATTAGTTATTCCAAGGGTTGTTTTTTGGCCAGCCCTGGAGCTTGAACTCGCAGGCTGGGCACTGTCCTTGAGCTTCTCTGTGCTCAAGGCTAGCAGTCTACCACTTGAGCCACAGAGCCACTTCCAGCCTTTTCTGTTTATGTGGTACTGAAGAATTGAACCCAGGGCTTCATGCATGCTAGGCAAGCACTCTACCACTAAGCCACATTCCCAGCCCCTCCAAGGGGTTTAACTATGGTATTCATGTGTGCATATTATATTTCAATCAGAACAATCCCCTCTGCTGTTTTTTGCTCTGCTTCTCACCTACTTACTGTTTAACAGCTTCAGTGAGATTTCTTAAACCCTTTTTATAAATAGATGCAATGTACTGTAATATGGAAAAGAATCTCAAGTTTTTCTTTTCTCCCTTCTTGGGGGTTGAAATCAG